TCACCTTGGCTAAACAGGATGGAAGGAGCCCTGGTGGTTCAGTGGTGATCCACTTGGCGGCTAACTGAGAGGTAAGGGGTTTGAATGCACCAGTTGCTCCATCGCTTTGCTCATTGCCGTTAAGTTAGAACTGATGCATCGCTGATCCTCCAAGCGGGACTTCAGAGTCTGTAAACTGCACAAGAGGAAGCTGTCCATCTTTCTCCCACAGAGCTGCTGGGATTCGAACTGCCTGCCTTTGGGCTGGTAGCACAGTTCTTTATCCAGGAGGCTACCAAAGCCTACATAATAACCTGTAGAGATTAAAATCTTGGAAACCCTATGGGGTTGTTCTATTCTGTCCTGCAGGACAGCTATGAACTGGTGGAATCAGAAACAATTTGAAGCCAGATGAGAAAACCAATAATGACAGAGAAAAAGTTTTCTACTGTATTATAGCTTCCACTGGGCTTCACGCCAGGTGAGGTTTTTCTGCCTGGCATTATGCAGGAAGTTCAAGGTAAAGTCACGGAGGGGGCCTTGGGGCACTGGATTAAAGACAGGAAAGGGGTGGAAAAGACTTATTATTTTCTGAGTATCGATATCCACCCTCAGGGTTCTCTTACAAGGGCAAGAAGCAAGTTCATTTATCATCTTAATGGCCAGGCCAAGGTGACTATAAACATCTGAGGGCCGCCTTTTACTTGGGGCTACAATTAACTTGACGAGAGACAGCGGAGAAAACAGAACACAACGGGGATCAGTTCCTGGCATGAAGGAGAGAGGCTGCGGAGGGGACCCAGGCTGTGTGGAATCTGCTTACACACGGAAGGAGATGGAGCAAACACTTCCAAGATGTTGAGAAGGAAAGCTCTCTCTTCTGGCTCTGCTTAATATAGTTCACTGTGGTCCTCTGTACAGATGCAGCTTTTACGCAGGGTCTTCTGCCTGAAAGCTGGTCAGGGAACTCTCTCAAATATCAAGGTGTACAAATATCTAAGTGTTTAAGTCCTTCCAGCTCTCTTGGGATTAGAAACTGGATCGGTTTTATCAGCTGGTGCCATGTTGAGCCGCTTGCCTTGAAAGTGAGAAGAAAATCCCATCTGGAGAGGAAAGGATTACCCTTTCTGAAGTGAAGGGAGATATAAACTTGAAGAGTCATGTTTACAAGAAAAACTTACGAGCCCTCCATGCCTCTTTACGCAAATTATAAGCCATGCAAAGCCACAGGGACTTGGTGCTTTACCACCTAGGAGGCTGCATTTACCATGGAATCCAATCACACACTCCTCAGAAAGGACAGAAGGGAGCTCTCTTTCCAGTAGCTTCTAACATTATGATCCTCCCACACACGTAGGGCCCTGTCATGGGAGGAGATAAGATATAGGCCCTTCATCTCTGTTATCTCAAGAAAATGAGAAGTCGACAAGACTTCCAACCAGCCCACGTTGAGCACTGACTGCGCTCCTTGTGAACTTCAAAGTGCTCTCACAGTGATAAAAGGCACAAGTGGAGATTCTCTGTTCTCCAGGCTGAATTACTATCAGCCTCCTAAGTCAACACCTCTTTCTAACTCGGGTCTATCTTCCCCCAATCCCATCAGGAGACTCTCTGAGACTATTTCCCATTCTTGGATTCGCCTTTTCTTATTTGCTCCTGTAGCCAATAACCTCCAGCCCTCAGACCTCAGTGGCTGCAGAAATAACCTGCTTAGAGGCCTTCCGAATATCTGACTTTTCTGCTCTCATTCTATCTTCAACACTGATGTCTTCTACCCATAATATTTTCCGTCACTCCTCTTCTCAGAACCCACAAACATCACTACCAAATTGCTAAAAATTTGAATTCCCCATGTAGGTTTCATGGGCCAGCAGCCACCTTTCTGGGAACCCACAGCTTGTTCTCGGTCTCATCTCCAAGATTCAAGGTCGAGATCTGACACCTTGATATTTTTTAGGTAAAACATTCCTCATTCTTTAAATATTACTCTACATATTGAATTCACTACACATTCAAACAATTATAGACATTTGAATTTCAAATGTTTTCATATTTCTGAACCCAAAATTCACAGTTTCACAAGGGAAGCACTAACTCCTTAGAACAGTCAACCGTATAAGGGCCAAAAGGACAGCATTTATCCAAGGATAAAACATAGAAGATAGGAAAGGATACAGAGAAGGATTAATGGAAATGAGAATCACAGGGCGGAAGTGGGAAGAGTGTGGTTTATTGTGTTTATTCTAGTGAGTGTTATAAAATAAAGTATGTCTGAACAGTTGAATGGAAAACCAATTTACATTGCAACCAAACTCCTGCACTATTTATTTTATTTAATAATTTTGTAGTTAGCAGTTTTAATTTACTTGGCTCCACAGTCAACACTCTTGGTAACAGCAGCCAGGAAATCAAGAGATGAATTGCATTGGGAAAGTCAGCTGTGAGGGACCTCTCAAGAGTATTGAAGAGCAATGATGTCAGACTGGAGACTAAGGTGCGCCTGATCCAGGCTATAGTCTTCACAATTACGTGTTGTGCATCAGAAAGTTGGACAGTGACTAGGGTTGGTAGAAAGAGAATTGATGCCTTTGAGCTGTGGTGCTGGAGAAGAGTGTTGAATACACCATGGACTGCTAGGAGAACAAACAGGTTTGTCTTGGAGAGGGTGAAGCCGGAATGTTCCTTGGAGTCAAGGATTCTGAAGCTTCATCTGACATATTCTGGGCATGTTGCAAGGAGGGACTGGCCCTTGGAGAGGGAAATCATGTTTGGCAGAGTGGAGGGCCGGCGAAGGAGAGGAAGACCTTTGATGAGATGGATCGATTCTGTGACTGGAGCGGTGGGAATAAGTGCGTTTGAGATGGCTAGGTTGGCACAGGATAGAAGAGCGTATAGAGCTCTTGTACGTAGGGTCGCTGTGAGTCGCAAGCGACTCGACGGCACATAACAACCACCACCACCTACTTTTTGCTTCATCTACTTTTTTAATTTAACGATTTATATGCTCTTGAATATTTGTTTAGTAACTATTTTTTCAGGAAGCCTTTGTGGTTAGTAAAGCAAATACTGTGGGTGCTTCACCCTTTTTCTCTATGCCTTATCACAATGTGGGTCACCTGAAGACAGTCACTTCCAGGTCAAAGGCTTCCTGCCCCTCTCTGTGGAAGCTGTTTCCTGGCCCCCTGGACCATCACCCCTGGGACGATGCAAAATAGGAGTTGGTGGATAAATTCTCCAACAACTCCCTCACCAAAGTCACATATTTTGGCACAGTGAACCAGTTTGGAATTTTCTAACAGGTAACAGAGAAAACAAATAAAAAGAGAAAACAAACAAAAAACAATGTAGTCAGTCCCTGGATTGTGTCCAGTGTTAAAAACAAACCAAAATGTCGGAGGAGGCTACAGGAGGCACAGTTATTTCTAATTTTAGGACCAGAAAGAAATTTCTACCGTAGAATCTGAGTGGAATCAGAATAATGTAACAGCCAAGCATTAGCCATCACCTGTAAGTGATCACGTTGTTATTATTTGCTGTTGAGGCAGAATTGAATCTGACCCTGGAGCGGATCTTTGGAGAGAGTGTATCTCACGGAAGAAGACTGCCCATCCATCTCTTGGTGGATTCGAACCCTGAGCCTTTGGGATTCCAGCGAGGCCACCACAACTCACACAGGAGTGACTTTCTTTGGCGTGTCCTCTGAGTAAGCTCACCTCCCCATTCTCCTACAGGGTGATGGCATCCTGGCACAGGCAATTCTGCAAAAGAGCTTTGACGAGGGGCCACAGATACTTGAACCCTAAAGATAGTTGGTTTTCTCTTGGCCAGGTTTAATCCAGGATGATTTGTAGGGTCCATGGAGTGGATAGAAAGCCTTCTCTTCCTGCAGTCCTTCTTGCATATTCCTTTCGTGGCCTTCCCAAACCCCAGTCCTCCTGAAAGCCAGTAAGCAGTAGGAATTTTGAGAAGACTTCTTGGCAAGGTCGTGGTGGACCCCTATTCTGGATGGCATCTTATGCTGCCATGTGTAATAAGCTCAGAAGGTTCTACATAATCCTGGAGTCTGGCAGGAAACACCTCATCAAAAAAGTGCACACCCGCTAGGAGGTGTGCCTACTGCCCATGTGTGGGCAGGACAAAGGTTTTCTTCAGAAAATGGTTCTGGGTCCATTCATTATAAGACTGCAGTTTAGGGTTGTAAATGCTTTGAAATATTGCAAAATAAATCCCCTCTGAATTCGGTCAGCAGTCAGTTCAATTACCAGGTACAATAACCCTATTTGAGACCACTGACTTCTCTTTGTCTTTCTCCAACAACTCCTCTTTGTTATCTGATAAGGAAGTCTCTCCTCTTCCTTCCCAAAGGCAAGACATTGAGGGACACTGTGGAGGTGGGAGATGAGAAAAATCCCCCCTACTTGTTTATTTTGGAGTTACGTTATCTCAATGTCATCTCAAGGAAATGAGCACATTCTAAAATCTCCCATTCAACTGGTGTAAATACTAATTCTCAGGTCACTAAATGTATCATAAGTAAGTACACAGAAGTATATATGCTGGACATATTGGCAACAGGTAGTCATAGGAAATAGCAGGTGGAAACAATCACCTCTATTACGTATCAAGAGTGTCACTGGTGACAGTCATCCTGGAGCCGTGATCTGCATTTAGTTCTTATTCTGTTTTCACAGCAAGAACTGAGTGACCTAAAAGGGGCAATAGGCTATGCTGGAGACGGACGGTACCATCAGCGAGAGGGGGCCAGACACAGAAGAGTAAGAAGCCAGTGCACCAAGACTGAAGGGATGGGAGACAATGGAAGAAAACGCCCTGACTCTAGACTGGTATTTACGGCTTCTTTCGTGGCTGTACCAACACATCACCAGAGTCTAGGAGGGAACATGTCTAACAAACCCAGCAGCACTTCCCATATGGGAACAGTCTCTGCAGGTCTTCACATGATCGAATCTCTGATATGAATCCGGTCTCTTAACCAGCAAGAGAACAGAGCATGTTCTTACCTTCTGCCACATGTTGATGAAGAAGAGCTCCCGGGACACGTTGAAGGACACACTGGCGTCAAAGGCATCGTCCCCGAGATTGGAGATGGAGATGTTCAAGGAGATATTCTTCACAGCCCCCAAAGCCAGATACGGGGTCGTCTCATCAATACTACAAAGGAAAACAGGCAGCAATGAATACTCTGAAGTTTTACACTAATATAAGACATCAAGAAACAGGGGCAGAGGGTAGAAACTCGACTGTGATCAGAACTACAAACCCCAGCAACTCCATTAACCAACCATATATTCTTGGGTAACAGGCTAAGTCCCATGGAGTGGAGAAGTTCTCCTGAGATTCCTTTTGCTTTTGAAGTTGAAACAGGAACAGCGTAAAAACCCGGGAGGGCAAAGAGGAGGAAGGTAAATGCTTGAAGGATGAGGAGATAGAAAGTATCTCAGGAGAGTGGGGGAGTGGACGGCTCAGGGATGACGCTGAGGAAAATGATGATGGCTCACAAAAGCCCGGCAATAATAAGTGATGTGAGCTTTGGATACAACAAATGTACATTTATCAGCTGATATTTAACTAGTCAATGAGTTACTGTCAAAACTCAAAGTCAATGCTATTGGAGCCAGCTCATAGCTGACCTACCAGAGGGTTTATGAGGCTGTAAGCTGAACAGGAGAAGATTGCCTGTTTTTCTCCTTTGGAACCATCAGTGAGTTCACATCACCAGAGAGGGGCCACCTTTGGGTTAACACCTCTATGGACTAGGTCACCAGAACACCCTCCAATTAACACATGATGTGATTAAATCCAGTAGAGTATGTGAAACAGACAATTGTTATATTTGGTTCCTCAGCTACCAAGCCAAAGGTGGGTGACTCTAATCCACGGCCCTCAGGCCTGTTTTTAATTGTATTTGGACAAACATTCCTCTAGGTTGTATAGCCCTGCTGTGTCCACTTGCTGTACAGAGGTAACTGGTGGTTGCTATGAAGCTGAACACTGTGACACTGATGTGTCAAATGCGATAATGGTTACCCATGGTGGACAGTGTTTGGTGGAGCTCCCTGATTAAAGCAAGCTTGGAAGCAGGAGTGGCATCCACTTCCATCAACAGCTTGCCTCTGGAAACCCTATGAACCTGGATAAAGGATGAAAGTCACACAAGTGTCGAGGACTTTGGTTTATGGGGTCACTATGAGTCGTTTACGACTTTCGACGGACCTTAACAACAAACGACAACAGCCTCTTGAGACCTTTTCTGACTCAAGACAAGTGGGAGGGTATAACAGCAGAAAGCGGAGAAGGCCTCACCTCTCCCGTCTGCCTGTCTCTAGAATGTAGGCACATAAAATCATGTGATCTAAGGGCAGTCATGTGAATGTGGAGGGAGTAGTGAGCAGATTCACTCCCCTCCCCCCAAGATTTGTGAGTTCTGAGGGTGACACAAAGGCACTGGGGCCATCTGACAGCACTGAGTAGGCCACAGAAGAGGTGAGGACCTCGGTGAGGCTCCCCAAGCTAAGTCTTGTCTCCCCCATTTCCTGCCATCTCAGACTCCCCAGCTTTCCTTCCCAGGCCATATCCTCTCAATAAATTAATTTTCTGCTCAAATTAACCAGATTAGACTTGGGTTATTTTTAATCATTAATTTGGCTAATACAGCATGAAAGGGGAGAGAACCATGTGATATCAGGATATTTTAAGCAGAAATTGTCACCGCTACCCATCCATAAAGAACATCTCTCATTTCTTCGGGTCTCTGGCATGCCAACAAGATTAACATGTGCAGGGGGAATTCTGATGGCCTTTCTTTGCAAGGAGGAGCCCCGAGGATCGAAACAAGATGTGAAACATTAACTTACAGAAGAGTTCCAAATTCTTGAATGGCCTCCAATAAATTAAGCCCCTGACCCCAAGCTATTGTGGCCAGTATTTATTATTGTTGGCCATTTTCATGTTAAACAATTGATGGGTTATTTCTGTCCTCCTGTTTGCTTTTCTAAGATTAAAGAGGTACTCCTCAGGCTGTGAAGGGTTAGGCGAGAACTCTAACCTAGCTGTGACTTCAGAAGGAACTGCAGACTTCACAAATATCCCAGTTGTCGCAGAGAAGGAGATGGTGCCATGGGGTAGGGTGGGTGGGCTCTCCCTTCAAGTTTCGTTTCCATGTGACTAGTCTTCTAGTCTCAGGTATAAACAGCAAAGGAACAAGCTAGTGACATGTAAGTCCCTGTCAGCCTTCAAACCGTGGTTCATTGTCTCTCGGTCATACAACACGGCCATTCCTTGCACAAACCCTCGTGGTGCATCCTCACAAGAAGTCATCAGCTCAGTCATTGCATTTTATAGATTATGAGGCCCGATGGGGCAACCAACTAGACCGAGGTCACGCGGCTATGCAGAGGCAGAACGAGAGACACCACCAGTCACTGGCATAAAGACCAGCTGATCTGCAGTTCTCGCGTGAACGCCATCTTGCTCAGGAAGGGCTTAAGAAAGAATCTTAATTAATAATCAAGAAATGCTTATTAATGTCACCGGAAAAGAGCAAGCCTCCACAGCGACCGTGAGTATTGTGAGTTCTGTGTGGTCATTGCCATGAATGACCGCACAGGGCCGCTGAGTAGTGAGAGCCGTGGAAGGGACTTTCGGGCTAGAATTGATTGATAGCAGGTGTGGGAGCATGGGGGGCATTGCTGGGAGAGATGTCTGACATCACAAGAACTAGATTTGTGCTACTGTTGTTGATGCGGCTTCTCCCTGTGAAATTGGTGAAAGTTACACTCTGCCATCCCCACGCCTGCCACATGATTTCTGGAGCAGCCTGTGTGAACAAAATTCTGCTTTTGTTTTCAATCCATCTACTTTAAGGCGCTTTAATATTTATGCTGTTTGTATCCACAAACACTGCATAAGCCACTAATATTGTCATGAAAGAAAACAAACTCTATGCCCAGCATGTGTGTGTTTTAACTTTGCTCCAACAGTGAGTTATTATGCCATAGAATCTGAGATGTGTTTCACATCTCCCAGTGTTTATAAATCCCTTCTAATCATGCAAAGCAGACCCACATGGTAACGCAAGCGAGCCCTCCCGAGGCACCTCTGTAAGGCACCTCAATTAAAGTTTACAGTAGCTCACGAAAATGATTCCTGGGGCTGGATTTCTGGTTGGAAAACCACACGTGTGTGAAGCCAGAAATGCCTGGACTTCCCTCACACATACCCCACTCGGGCCAGCTTTACGCTCACAGCATGGAGGAAAAGAGAAAAGCATTTGCTAAGGTTCTCCCGGCTGAACTAGGGTTTCCCTAGCAACATACACATAAGCAGGGAAAAGACTTGTTTTCTCTTTTAGAACCTAACATGACTGTGTCCCCTGGCTTGTTCAGTAACTCCTGGAGAGGTACAACCAGGATTTTCTCTGAAGGTCACCCCTTTCTAAGGAGACAAAGGCAGCAAGCCCGAGGGCTCCCCCTGCCCCTCCAAGCAGCAGACTCTCTCCCCATCTGTCTAACTGTGAAAAGAACTCCTGGTTCCCAGCTAAGAGAGGAATTCAAACCCTCATCAGCCATTGCTCTAGGAGTCGTTTCCGGAATCACTAAATCTTGGGACATCTGGAACAAATCAGGTTCGCCCACTGAAACAACTGGATTAAGGACAAAGACTATTTTGGGGGGCAGGGAAATTCCCAAGTTTGGTGGGCTTCTCTGAGGTCTGATGTCATTTGACCGGGACGGTGTGGGGTGACATACAGCTTGAAGGCCGCAGTGCATGGTATCACCCTGTGCTGCACCATGAGAAGGGCCACGTGGTCCTGTGAGTAGCAGGGGACCACTGTTTCCCTATGTCTGCTCAAAGAAGCAAATGCCCTGAACAGTCACTGACAGGAAACATAAACCGAAATGACAAATCCTTGTGGAGCTTAAATCTCATCTGAGGTATACAGAGGGAGTCACAGAGTCAGAAAGGGAAGGGAAAGCTGAAAACAGCTCTTCCTACCCATTTTCGCTGAAGCTCTGAGATTCTTGAAGGTAGAAACAAGAGTCACATGCCTCAGAGATATACCTATTTTTTTCCCCCAGGGTGACTTCCCTCTTTAACCACAATGCCAAATTTCTCCACTTTTGGATTGACTTACGTTTCCTTGAGCGTAACAGGGAGCCCTGGTGGCCTACAGGTAAGGAGCTGTACTGTCAACATGAAGGCTGCCAACCTGAAGTTACGGCAGTTCAAAACCACCAGCTCTTCTGCAGGAGAAAGATGGGCAAACTCCTCCCAGGTGATTTACTGCCTCTGAAAACCCACTGGAGGGTCCCCTACGGGTCGGTTCTAACTCTGATACACCACCACCTTGAGTTTATCAAAACTGACAATTTCTGTGTCCTTAATAAAACAAAGACCAAGGAACAAGAGTTTACTTCGTGTTGTTACAGTTGTTGTTGTTGTTAGGTGAGTTGAGTTGAATATGACTCACAACGACGCTGTGAACAACAGCTCTGAACCCTGTCCTGTCCTGGCCTGTGCCATCTCATCATCTCAGACACACACTTGAGTCTACTGCTGAATCATTGTCAATCCATATTACTGAGGGTCTTCCTCTCTTTTCTTGAGCCTCCATATTTTAAAGTATGATGTCCCCTCCAAGAAAGAATTTCTCCCAGCAACACGCCCAAGTATGAGAGACAACGCTTTGCCACCTTTGCCTCCAAGGACCACTCCGGCTGCACTTTTCCAAGACATATCAGCTCTTTCAACAGCCCATGGGATATTCAACACTCTCTTCCAACAACACAACTCAAAGGCATCAATTGTTCTTCTGCCATTTTTTTCTTATTATTTTTAATTAAAATTTACAGAGTTAGGATTTCCATTCAATCATTGTTGCACTTTTCTCCTTCCTGCCCTCCCCCCAATTCACTCTTCTTGAAAAGCAAAAGAAAAACTCTTTCACTGTTATGCAATCCCTCCCCCCAAGTCCATTCCACTGTGCAGCCTTCGTTCTGGAGTCCTGTCATGACAATAATATCCAATAACATATCCTTTTAAACAGTTCTCTCCCTCATCGGTTTCAATCTTCTGCAATTCTTATTCACTGTTCAGCTTTCAGATGCATAGCAGGGGAATGAAAAGACCATGATCTGAATCAGTCGCACCTT